CTTGAAGCTATTTATTGCCCAGCTAAGATACCTGTCACTCAATAGGTATTCAAGTTGGTTAGGGGGGGAGGGGCTATTCCCTTGTGTCTGCATTTCCAGGGTTGTGTCTTCTCGAGAGCATCCCGGGAAATGTGTCTCTATGAGAGCCTCTAGGGTTTCTTTGCTGGACGATGTCCAGTTACCTTCTGAGGTTTTAATGTATCCTACATTTGGTGCAGTAGTTGCGAGGACCTTCCTGAGTCGGAAGGCCTCTTATGTTTGCTGAATGTTCGTGCAGAACTTGGCCCAGGCATTCCTTTTTGCCTTGCGAAGGTCTTTGTTATATTGCCTAAGGTCCGCTTTATACGACTCCCAGGCTGTCTCCGAGTTTGTTTTGCTGGCATAATTAAAGCCCCTGCGGGCCTTGGTTTTAAAGGGCGCAAGTGTTTGCGACCACCATGGTGGTTTCTTTGACTTGCTATTGCCCGATCTGCTTTTGGGACAAGCTTTGTTGAATGCCCTGGCGCACGCTGCCGTGAGCGTGTCCACCATGGCATCTAGGGCTTCCCTGCTGTCAACGTCCCCTGTTGGAGGTCTCCCCAAGGAACTATCTAGTTTTTTCCTGTATAACTCCCAGTTCGCTTTTCTTGGGTTGCGTACCGTTAGTCGATTAAAGTTCTCGAAGTTGACCACTAATTCTATGTTTCGGTGGTCCGAGAAAGAGTGTTTCTCTAGGACTCTCCAACTACAATCCTGTCTGCTAGGGATTCAGAGTAAAGAGTGACGTCAAGTACTTCCCTTCTGTTCTTGACTATGAAAGTGGGTTCTGTACCCCTGTTACCCGAAGATTGACTCACCCTTCTCGTTCGTGTCAGTGCTTCCCCACTGATGATGATGGGCGTTAGCATCGCAACCCATGATCAGGTCGATCTTGTGCTTCCTGCTGTCTTGCACCAGCTGTTTGATTAGCGGGTGCGGGGGGAGGGCCTCCTGGTCGTGGCCCATATACGCCGAACATATCCATAGAGGGCCATTTGTGCTCTCTATGGCTGCGGCTACGTGGTCTTCATTGCTGAAATTGGGTAGCAAAAAGAGGTTAAGGTTATTTTTTGCGAGGATGCAGGCTCGCCTTTTACCTGTAGTATCGGCTTTGCAGAGCCTAAACTCCGACGCCCCCAACCCAAGAATCCTGTCTCCAAGGTCTCCAAGGGTTCCTGGATGAGGGCCACATCAGCTCCACTCTCGGCGAGGTGGAGTAGGAGGGCAGCTAACGCCGCTTTACTGTGATGGAGATTTATTTGCAAGATCGTCAGGGACATTCTTACAATTCTCCACCACAGTAACTTCTGCCTCCGTCTCGGAGCTCAGCAGAGATTCCTCCTCCATTCCGACTCCACTAAGTGCCCTTTCCAAGTCGCTTTCCTCCGAGGTGTACCCCTCCAGGATGTCCTCCTCTTCATCCGACATTCCTTCCGGGTGCCCCTCTTCGGTCGGCTCCTCCAAGTCTGGCTCTTGTGTGTCAGCATTCAGCCCGATACCTCCTGGCTTGGCCTTCGCATCGGATTTGTAGATACGGACCGAAACATGTTCGAATCCGTACTTCAGCCGGTGCTCCGTCCTCTCCAGGGCTTTAACGGTCTCCTCGTTGAGTGTGAGGACGACCTGCCTCCGCAGCCCCACCGCGTCCTCGACCTTGGCGACTCTCCAGTCCATCGTGGGGAGCGTCGGGTTGCACATCCTAAGCATTGTCAGGATGGTCTTAGGGTCGGCTGGCTTTTCAGTGAGCCACACTCGCGCCTTCGGTTTGCTAGGGATCTCGTCCCAGTCAACCGCCACCAGCTTAGCTCCAGGGTAGACCTCTCCAAGCGATGCTACCATACGGTTGTAGGTCTCTACCGATCGCGCGTCTTGGCAAGCAATCACCTTGACGCTACCCTGATACCATCCTGCGTCTTCGCATTCTGGTGGGGGTCCTCCTCATCTCAGCATCTCCTCCACGAAGCGCCCATGCAACTCGTTAACCACTCGTCGCCAAAGGTCCTTAAGCCCTTGTCCAGGACTCCAATTAGGGTTCTTCCCTTCGTTACTTCGGCGAACGAGCGGTTGGACGGCTGCGGCTGGGCCTTCCTCTTCTTGGCCTGGGGGGCTTCTCCCTCTGTGGACCTCTGCCTTTTCGCGATTTGCGCGGCCTCCTTGGCAGGGTCTGACCCAGTACGTCTACTCGGATCCAGCCTCACTCCCGCCTTTTCCGGATTAAAGTCGGGCAGGATCTCCCTTGCCCACTTGATGATCTCGGCCTGGTCCGGGTTGGCTTCGGCCGATGGGTCCGCCCTCATCAAAATGAAGGCCGCTCTTCTTCTGTCCTTGTAGGAGCCATTACGCTGCGTCGAGTGAGACGCTCCCGGCCCAGGGTTCGCCTTAGGGGCCCCGCCAGTTAGATTAGAGGTTGACCCTGGGGTCTTCCTCTCCCCGCCGTTCGGTGGTCCCATGGCTAGCCCCTCTGTGGGGGCTTCTCCATCTCAGCAACTCCTTGGCTTTTTAGGGCCTTGAAGTTTGACGGGTCATTGACCCCATTTCCGGACTTTTTTTTTGGGAGTTCCGTTCTCCACTTTGGTTTTTGGTTATTTTAGTAGAAATCATATTTTGGTCCCACGAGAAGGCGGGAAGGGGTTCGTCCATCCCCCAGAGTTCGCATATTAGCGTCCGAGCCCCCCCTCGGACACGCATCCTTCGGCATATGCTGTTCCACCTTGGATTGGGGTGATTTAAGAAAGTGTGTGTTCTTCTCCCCACCCGACTACCATTAGCCAGCATCCTCGGCAGAGACATGACCTTACCGGGCCTGTTACCAGCCGCCCTCACGTGGAGAGTATAGTCGCGCTACCAGCGGTGTACACAGTTACGGCACGCAATTGCTTGCGCGTTGGTCCCCCGGTTGTACCCGTTGGCTGACGGCCGAGCCAAAACATCCTTAAGTATAATATATATCAAATAAATATATCAATAAAATTAAAAATAAAAATAAAAAAAATAAAATTTCTTAAAAAAAAAAAAAATATATTGAAACGTGAATTTAACACAACCTGAATTATTGGCAAAATAATACGACACGCCAAATTTCGTAGGAATCGGCCGACTATATCCTATAGCTGGCATATAACTGAACGATCGGAAATGTTTTTTGGTAGAAATACCAACTTTTTTATTTTTGAAGATAGAAGTTTGGGACTTTTTTTAGATTTTGTATTATAATAAATTGGGTTATATTATCATATTCTCATAAGGATCGGCCAACTATATCCGATGCTTGCGATATATATCCGGTTTTAACTGCAAGGGTATACATATAAACTTCGGCTCCGCCCGAAGTTAACTTTCCTTTCTGGTTTTTGGTTTATTGTGAGTTTTTTGGTTTTCTTAAGTTAAATTATTTTACATTTGTTTAGCGGCAATTAAATAAATACTTATTTATATATAATAATTTTTAAATTCTTATATGTAAGATATGTAAAATAAATTATACAAAACAATAATGCAATACAATAATACAATAATATTTCAGAAAAAAATAACAATGACTTGCTTTCATTTTTCAATTATTTTTATATCAGCGTCAAAAAATACAGTTAAATATGCAGAGTTGTATCGTACATTCCAGAATGAATTCAAAATAATTTGAATGCGATCTCTAACATTCACTCATTCAATTCTGGTTTTATCCCCCGAATCCCACTACTACAAGGTAGTCTCGTCGGCAAAAGCTTAAGTCATTTAAATTCGACATTTACAATTCGACAATTCGTCATTTAAGGGGACCCCCCCCATTCTCGGTTTTAAAAAATCGATTTTTTTTTTTTAATTTAATTCGAACTTGTAACTATTCAAAAATGTTCCCTGAAAATTTCAAGTAAAAATTTCAAAAACTCTTGAAGATATAGCCGATTTATGGTGGAAGCCTCAGGCGACGGCGAGAGCCGTCTCAAAACTTTAAACGCGTTTTTCTCGAAACAGTGTTTTTACGACTGGCGCATGAGGTTACTCAAAAACTATTAATCCAATCGGTTCCAAATTTTAACACGTTATTCTATACATATATAGCTCTCGTATGAACTAGGATAAATCAAATCGGTGAAGATCTTCTTTACTTTTCAACTCGATTTATGGCTGAAAATAATGGAAATTTTCAAAAAAAAATTTCAAAGGTCCGCCATTTTGTTAATTTTTGAGCGAAGTTAATAATCCTAGTTCATACGAGAGCCAAACATGTACTCTTTCTAATCCCGTTGGAATTTTTGGATTCCGATGTTCCAGTGAGCGGAAATCACATGCGCCGCCGAAAAGAAGGGCTTTTCTTTGATCACAAAAAACAACAACAAAAACAAAACAAAAAAAATTCTGTGAAATGATTTTCTTCCTTTTTGTGTCTTAATATATGTAAGCACAGTTACAACCCTAAAAAATAATTTATGTTCATTTGCCAGCCCATTGAAAATCGTCAAAATTTAAAATCGAGAATGGGGGGGGGTCCCCTTAATTTCGAGCATTTAAATCGTCCATCGATATATTGGCCCGTCATCTGTTCGCTCGACAGAGTTGACGCTAACGGTAGTGTGCTTCTGGCTAGTCTTCGTATTCGATATTGGGGGCACCACTTATTTAGAATTTATTTAAAGAAGGTACGCAGTATATAAATCGGTATTGATTAATCGGAAATACCAAAACTTTGGCGTTTCTTGAATTAGTAAAGGAATGGTAAAGGAAATTACCTAACTTTGGTATTTTTGGAAATAAATGCTTGGGTTTCTTTTTTAAATATCAGCCAATTGTTTCCGATGTGTGCGATCTTAACTAGAAGGGTATATTAACTTCGGCTCCGTCTGAGGCTCGCTGTCCTTTCTTGTTTTCCTATTTTTCCGTTTTGTATTAAAATTAATAAAAATTTGGTCTGTCATCGTTTTGATACATTTTTTTTAAAGGTTTATCGCATTTAAAAGTTATAATTTCTTAATTTTTTTTTTTAGGACGATCAACAAGTTGGCGCGATGAAGACTCCAATGTTGAAAGTTCCAACAACCTTCAACGGTCTATTTCAACAGTTGGGCCTGTAGGAGTTGACCGTGGAAACGGTAAAGCATCTGTGAATGGACCCGGTGGAATAGGCGGAGTTGGAGGCACAATTACATCTTATCCACGAATATCCACCAAAAACACACCATTGTGGACACCCAAAAATACAAATGCTGATGTGGATGATACTCTTCCTGAATGGGCAATGGAAAATCCTTCTGACTTGGGTGGAACTTTTGATTCAAGTGGAGCTTTTCATGGTGATAATGATAAACCAAAGAGCCAAAACAGAAAAAATGAAACATCGACAAAGAATTTATGTCTTTATGACGAGTCTTTGACCAAAATTGTAGACAAAACCGACAGGGGCAATAAAAACGAAAACAAAGCCGAATGCTTGAAAATCGAACCGGTTTTCAAAGTTAGTAAATCTCCAGATAATAAAAAAAAATCTAAGGAAACTCAAGGCGATATGTCTGATAGAATAAAAGAAGTTGCTATTCAAGTAGAAAAACTAATTATGGAAGATGATCAGTGTCAAATAACTGACAACCAAATTAAAAATCAGACAGATTGCGGACGATTAGTGGAAAACATGCCAAGTCTCGCAGAAGTCGAGCTAAATATGAAATCTAATTCTGCAAACGATAATGAAAATTGCCAACAACAACAATCATCTATATCAAATACAAATTCGGAGATATCAAATCAGCCGCATCATCATTCCCCTTTTTCTGATCACTTGCCAATACAGCAACATCATCTTCATCACCAGCAGCATATGCCAATAGTTCCATCGCATATGATTAATTCAAATCTGAACGAATTGTGGTTTTATCGGGATCCTCAGGCAAACGTGCAAGGACCATTTAGTGCAGTCGAAATGACTGAGTGGTATCGCGCAGGCTACTTTAATGAAAACCTTTTTGTACGGCGATTCACTGACAATAGGTTTAGACCCCTTGGTGATCTTATTGACGTTTGCCATGGAAATATGCCATTTACACACAGCCACTTGTTACCGACACCATTGGAATTGGAAAGTTATTCTGCTGGTCCGATTTCAAATGCACTTCGTGAAGCAATTCCGCTTAATGGTTGTAAACCTTCGCATTCACCTATCTCTTTATCGATAGTTGAACAACAATTGGCCCAACGCAGAGACGACCAACTTAAGGAAAATGTTACAGCTGCAGCGGATTCGCTTAGTGCGGCTTTAAAAGGGAATTCTATTGGAAATAATATGAACGTTTCGCAAATGTTAACATCGCGTTTCCAAATATTACAGGATCAATATTTCCAGCACCAGGAATATCAAATATTGGCAGAACTTTCTAAGAATGAGTTCTTTCAACATTATTCAGCTGCTGAACGTGAGTCGATCGTCAGGCAGAAAGTTCAAATGGTGGTTCTTCCAGAGTATTTGAGAAGCCTAAACGGACTAAATAGCTCGCTTTCTATATTAAACCCAATTGCAGCGACACAATTAAATCAAGCTGTTGCTGAAAAGGCAAAGAAAGATCAGGAAAACTTGTTCGTAAATTCGTCTAATCAACCTCCTTCAATGGTTAATCTATTAGATTCAAATAGTTTTATAATGAATGCACAATTGATGCAACACGCGTCACAACAGCTAGGAGTTGCTTCCACTTCTGGCGATCATGTAATTAAAAGTACATCTCTTTCCGACATATCTAAACTGGATGAGATATCAAAAAATGAATTGGATTTATTAAACGAATATAATTTAAGAATGCTTTTGCGTGGGCAACCGCAACATCATGAAATGTTAAGTAACGAAAGTCACAACGATAATGGCGATATGGAAAAGCCTCAAATATTAAGGGCTCAAAACCTAATGGTTCCTATGTGGCAGTCGCCTAGCAAGCAACATGATAACAATCAACACTGGTCAGAAATTTCAAATGAAAAACCACTTTTTTGGGAGGATAGTTTAGAACAAGAAAGAAGTCATCAGTTACAGACATTAACACAAAAACAGACTATTTCTTATCCAGAAACATTAAATTCCGAAGTGGAGGCCAAATCTCAAACCCGCCTTGATAATGTTTTAAAGCTTAGCTCTTTGCGGGAAATGGGTCCATCCACTGAAAAGTTAAGAGAACCTCCCTCCCAAAATCTTGATTTGTTAACAAACACGAATGAAAATCAAATTAAAGAATCACATCCCGAACAACAGTTCAAAAATCAGGTTAACAACAAACATCCGTTGCCTGAAAGACAGCAACAGACACAACAGGCTGAAGTTAAACTAAATAATGAAGAACGCAGACGGGAAATAATTGAAGAAAAACGTCGTTTGAAGGAAGAGCGAAAACGTTTACAATTGGAAGAAGATAAACGCCGGTCTATAATAGAGGAAGAAAAAAAAGCCAGACAAATTCACGAAGAAAAAGAAAGACAGCAGCAAATACAAGCTCAACGTCGAAAAGCTTTGCTAGGTAATGTCCAAGCTACAATTAGAAGTGGTGGGACGGGTAAGTATAAACCCCATCCAATCTTCAATTACTTTTTAATAGAAGTGTTCATTATACCCTTATACCCTTGTATTATAATTTTGTCCAAAAGTGTGCAACGCAGTGAAGGAGACATCTCCGACCCTATAAAGTATATATATTCTTGATCCGGATCACCTCCTGAGTAGATATCCTGTCCGTCTGTCTGTTTCTACGCAAACTAGTCTTACAGTTTTAAAGCTATCGTCTTGAAACTTTGCATGCAGTATATAAGTCGGAACGATCGGAATCGGCCGACTATATCCTATAGCTGCCATATAACTGAACGATCCGAAATGACCCAACTTTCGTGTTTTTGAAGATAGAAGTCTGGAACTTAGTACAGAGTATATTTTTGGTCAGTTCATCCGACCTACCAAATTTCATCCTATCCTATAGCTATATCCTATAGCTTTCATATAACTGTACGATCGGAAATGGTGTTTGGTAGAAATACGAACTTTGGTATTTTTATACCCTTGCAGAGGGTATTATAATTTTGGTCAAAAGTGTGCAACGCAGTGAAGGAGACATCTCCGACCCTATAAAGTATATATATTCTTGATCAGGATCACCTCCTGAGTTGATATGAGCATGTCCGTCTGTCCGTCTGTCTGTCTGTTTCTACGCGAACTAGTCTCTCAGTTTTAAAGCTATCGTTTTGAAACTTTGCACACACCCTTCTTTCCGTTGCACGCAGTATATAAGTCGGAACGACCGGGATCGGTGGACTATATCCTATAGCTGCCATATAACTGATTGATCGGAAATGGTATTACTTTGGTGTTTTGAGAGTTAGAGTTTTTAGAGCTATTTTTGGCAAAATATTACGACATGCCAAATTTCATAAGGATCGGCCAACTATATCCTATAGCTGCCATATAACTGAACGATCGGAAATGTTTTTTGGCAGAAATACCAACTTTGGTATTTTTGAAGATAGAAGTTTGGGACTTTTTTTTAGATTTTATATTATAATAAATTGGGTTTTATTATTATATTCTCATAAGGATCGGCCAATTATATCCGATGTTTGCGATATATATCCGGTTTTAACTGCAAGGTATCAACTTCGGCTCCGCCCGAAGTTAGATTTCCTTTCTTGTTGAATATAGAAGTTTGGGACTTTTTTTAGATTTTGTATCATAATAAATTGCGTTATATATAACCAAAGATTATAAAGTACATAGCTTATCGACGACGGCCTGCCAAAACGCCGTAGAACCCGCACTTTAGATATTTTTACAGCGGGTTCCACTACGAACTGAAACAATGTTAAGGTGATTGTAAAATTTTGTATTTTTATACCCTTGCAGAGGGTATTATAATTTTGCCAAAAGTGTGCAACGCAGTGAAGGAGACATCTCCGACCCTATAAAGTATATATATTCTTGATCAGGATCACCTGAGTTGATATGAGCATGTCCGTCTGTCTGTTTCTACGCAAACTAGTCTCTTAGTTTTAAAGCTATCGACTTGAAACTTTGCACACACCCTTCTTTCTTTTGCACGTAGTATATAAGTCGGAACGGCCGGGATCGGCCGACTATATCCTATAGCTGCCATATAACTGATTGATCGGAAATGGTATAACTTCAGTGTTTTTAGAGTGAGAGAGTAAATTCATGTAAATTCAAATTTTACATGAGCGCTATTTTTGGCAAAATAATACGACATGCCAAATTTTGTAGGGATCGGCCGACTATATCCTATAGCTGCCATATAACTGAACGATCGGAAATGACCCAACTTTCGTTTTTTTGAAGATAGAAAGCTGGATCTTGGTACAGATTATATTTTTGGTCAGTTGATCCGACCTACCAAATTTCATAACGATCAGTCGTCTATATCTAATAGCTTCCATATAGCTGTGCGATCGGAAATTGTTTTTGGTAGAAATATCAACTTTTGTATTTTTGAAGATAGAAGCTTGGGACTTATTTTTAGATTTTTTATTTTAATTAATTGGTTTTATTATGATGTAATCATAAGGATCGGCCAACTATATCCGATTTTTGCGATATTTATCCGGTTTTAACTGCAAGGGTATATCAACTTCGGGTCCGCCCGAAGTTAGCTTTCCTTTCTTGTTTTATGTTTCTTTTGTCAATTAAAAATTGAAAATAATTTTATGCCAATTTTGTCCTACGAACTTCTACAGAAATCAACAAAAATATGAATTCCAAGACAGGAGAAGAACTAACACCATCGCGGGCCCCTGTAATATCTGTGGCACCCTGGTCACTTAGCTCATCAAATTCGAACAGCACGGCGCCTGGACTGGCGGAAATTCAAAAGGCAGAACGCAGAGAACGTCGTGCCGATCAACAGCGCCATCAAGAGCAACTAGAAAAACAAATGCGTGCCAATGCAGCAGCCGCTGCTGAAGCCAATGATGCAATGCTTAAATGGCAGGCGGCGCCCACATCTGCGCCTGTAATGAGCTTAGCCAAAATTCAAGCGGAAGAAGCTAAACGATTAGCCAACGATATGGAGCAACAGCGTCGCCGGGAAAACGACCAACCTCATCATTCACCGGTTCCATCCACTGTTGGGGCCTCCGGCTTGTCCAACATCTGGGGAAGCTCAAATAGGGCATGGAGTGCAAACTGCACTACTCCAATGCCTTTAGCAACCTCTGGGCTATGGGACGAACATAAAGCCTCTTTAACCAATGAAACTTCTTTTCATGGATCACGTACAAGCAGTAGTTGTACCGTCTCAATGACATCTGCAATTAGTTCGAGCACTAAAAACAATGTACAAAGTCAAAGTAAAACTATAAATGCCGCTTCATCGCTTCGCAACTTGCGTAAAAGCCAAACATTGCCAGTAATTAATAATACTGAAAAAATGTGTAGAGCTCTTCCCGGTTCTGAGAAAAATAAGTCAAGCCAGATGCGAGTTAATCAAAAAGTGGCAGCCGGCGGTTTTGATGACAAGGATAAGGATAAAAAATCAAATTCAAAAAATTGTTTAGGGCCCCAAAGTAGTACAGACCACTCATCTACTAAGGTTAATGAATATGAAAATCAGTTTACCAATTGGTGTATAAAAAGTTTAGATAATATGTCGTCTAAAGTAGATGGTAATTAACAATATTTGTTTATTTAACATTTTATTAAACGAAAAAATTTTTTACAGTGCCAACTTTTGTCACATTCTTGCAAGATTTAGAAGCACCATATGAAGTTAAGGATTACATCCGCATGTATCTTGGTTCGTATACATGGTATAAAATTACTAAATCAAAATTGAATCAAACTAGATCTGCAGATTCGAGAAATTTGAAAAAAATTGAATTTTTTAATATTTGGGTTTTGGGTTTTATTTCAATGTAGCATACATCTAACATACCAATGTTTCAGGTGAAGGCAAAGAATCCTCAGAATTCGCAAGGCTGTTCTTAGAGCGTCGCAGTAAATACAAAAGTTTACAACGTGCTCAAAATGCACACAATGATGATATGTGCAAACCCGCACCCGCCATAACACCGTCGTTGAATGACAGCATCGACAATAAGGTAAAATAAACTATTTTTAATTTGTGCACCTAATATCATTTTATTTTTAGAATAAGCAGAAAAAGATAAAGAAAAATAAGATGACTAAAATGGATGCGAGAATTCTGGGATTTTCGGTGACTGCCGCGGAGGGCCGCATTAATGTTGGCTCTCGTGATTACGTCGACGGACCATAACATTTTTTTAAGGTTTGAACTCCTTTTGCAATTGAAGTGTATAAAATTGTATTGCACAATAGGTCGTAAATGGTTGCGGATTATCAATAAAAGTACATACATATTGTACGTATATACATACACATAATAAAGTTGGGGATCCCTTAAGGGGAACCCTTTTTTACACAGTCCAATAGTTCATAATTTTCACGAGTAGCTCACTAGTAGCCACTAGAGTAGTGGATGTTTTTTTTTACCTTGGACACCGGTGGTGACACAGGCTTCTCAGTCGGACTTCTTTGTCCGAGCGGCTCCGGCGAGAGAGTATATATTTTTGTACAACATAAATAATGTTGGTTTTATTAAATATTTATATATTTTTTTTCTTATGACACTTGACGACCGTGGAGCGCTGACGCATTAAGAGGATATATGGAAAAAAACAATATACACATAGGGGCGGTATTCTAAGAGAAAGTAACTGTTTTAAACAATCTCTTAGCCCCGCCGAGAAGGTTTTCAAACTGCTGAATTCTTAGTAATTTTTATACCCTTGCACTATGGGATTTTTGACCACTTTATGTGGCATTTAATCATTTTTTGAAAGTTCTCTGATTTAAAAAAAATTAATGGGAATGTATTAAGAAAACATCAAACTATTATACCTCATACTCAAAGTATTAATTATTAGCACCATATGCTAGCATAACAGCTGCAAAGTCAGCTGTTGCATCCGAAAGCACGTGCGGTAAGTTTGCAATTTTCACATAGTGATTTGTGAAATTAGATTATTTGTTTAAAACTCCATTTAAAAAGAAAAATAGTAATGGACACTGATTTCACAGGTTTGTACTACATGTTAAATGTATTAACTGTTTAAATTATGCGTGTCTATACTAAAATTTTGTCATTTTATAGATGCACCCTAAGCTGATTTTTAGGAAACAAATTTCAACTTTGAGAAGAGTTTTAAATAGAAGGAATACAAAGTTTTCAATGCGTCCAAGTGTATGTTGTAGCGTTGTCAATACTGAGCAAAGGCTGTCTTATTGTGCACTTTTCTCCACTATTGGTGCAATTTGAATTTTTATACCCTTGCAGAGGGTATTATAATTTTGTCCAAAAGTGTGCAACGCAGTGAAGGAGACATCTCCGACCCTATAAAGTATATATATTCTTGATCAGGATCACCTCCTGAGTTGATATGAGCATGTCCGTCTGTCCGTCTGTCTGTTTCTACGCGAACTAGTCTCTCAGTTTTAAAGCTATCGTCTTGAAACTTTGCACACACTCTTCTTTCCTTTGCACGCAGTATATAAGTCGGAACGGCCCGGATCGGCCGACTATATCCTATAGCTGCCATATAACTGATTGATCGGAAATGGTATAACTTTGGTGTTTTTAGAGTTAGAGAATTCAAATTTTACACGAAAGCTATCTTTGGCAAAACATTACGACATGCCAAATTTCATAAGGATCGGCCGACTATATCCTATAGCTGCCATATAACTGAACGATCGGAAATGACCCAACTTTCGTTTTTTTGAAGATAGAAAGCTGAAATTTAATACAGATTCTATTTTTGGTCAGTTGATCTAACGTACCAAATTTCATAAGAATCGGCTAACTATATCCGATGTTTGCGATATATATCCGGTTGTAGCTGCAAGGGTATATAAACTTCGGCTCCGCCCGAAGTTAGTTTTCCTTTCTTGTTCTTAGATAACCTCACTTTCTCCAAAAACCGACTTGGTCGCTGCTTGGAACAGCGAAAGGGGCCGGGCTGAGCATCAACTGGCTGTACAATGTTTTTTTTTTAACGCCATGCAAATAACAATGTGGATAAAGACGTTTTGAAAAAAAGCCACCAGTTTTTAATTGAAGTAATGGAAAATGCAGTGCTTTCAGTCGGCTATTTTGGAGAAGAAGCGTCTGAGTCCTGAAACAAGCTGTATAAATCAGACAGGCGTCACCATTTAAGAAAACACTACCGATTACATTCCATCGCTAATGTGTTCAACAGAGCTATGGATACAAAAGATCCAATTATTTCGTCCTTAATTTATCGAGATGCATAAAAAAATAAAGAGTCTTTTACTTCCAATTGAGGTAATTGAGATGCTTTCGTACGAATACGAAAATAATGTTTGTCTCGAAGATGACGAATTTAACGATTCCAGCTTTTTTTTTTTTAGATAATATTGATATATTAAAGAAAATGAAATAAAAATAATAATAAGATTAATACTACTGTATGAAGGAATTTTTCTTTTTCAACTTTTGTATTTGTATGGAAGAACACTGAAATCCGGTATTTTAAACTGACAGTTACCAGGGAAAGCGTTGTCCGATTTGGTTCAAAATTGCTATATCGTATTAAAATAGCAACAAATATCAGCTCCTTAAATTTAATTTCATCATTTAATTTATCTTTATTTTTACCAAATCGTTCCTATGGGAGCTATAGGACATTGTGTTCTGATCCGAACGATTTTCGTACTATATGTGCCTAGGATCAAATAATAACGATTGGTAAAGTTTCATGTCGATATCTCCAAAACTGACCGAGTTATTTATTAATGCCACAAAAACAGGTCAAAAACCTTATAGTGCCTTGGTATTATAATTATACTATTATTGGTATTATACCTATACTAGGAATTATAATTTTGTCCAAAAGTGTGCAACGCAGTGAAGGAGACATCTCCGACCCTTTAAAGCATATATATTCTTGATCAGGATCACCTCCTGAGTTGATATGAGCATGTCCGTCTGTCTGTCCGTTTCTACGCGAACTAGTCTCTCAGTTTTGAAGCTATCGTTTTGAAACTTTGCACACACCCTTCTTTCCTTTGCACGCAGTATATAAGTCGGAACGGGCCGGATCGGCCGACTATATCCTATAGCTGCCATATAACTGATGGATCGGAAAAGGTATAACTTTGGTGTTTTTAGAGTTAGAGAGTTCAAAGGGTCTCGTGTTAGAGACACGAGAGCTATACAAACCATTACGACATGCCAAATTTCACAAGGATCGGCCGACTTTATCCTACAGCTGCCATATAACTGATTGATCGGAAAAGGTATAACTTTGGTGTTTTAAGAGTTAGATTTGACACGAAAGCTATTTTTGGCAAACCATTACGACATGTCAAATTTCATAAGGATCGGCCGACTATATCCTATAGCTGCCATATAACTGAACGATTGGAAATGACCCAACTTTCGTGTTTTTGAAGATAGAAATCTGGAACTTGGTACAGATTATATTCTTGGTCAGTTGATCCAACCTACCAAACTTCATAACGATCGGCTGACTAGGGGCCGTCCATATATTGCGTGACGCGAATTTCAGACTTTTTTGACCCCCTCCCCCCCCTGCGTGACAAACCATGACACGAGGTTAGACCCCCCCCCCAAGTCAGCCTCATTATGTTTAAATTGTCTGCGAAATGTGTAAAAGGTTGCGAAGTGTTAATCGACAAGGTGTCAAATTTGTGCAAGATCGCACTACAAACTTCTGCACCGATTTACTGTGACCGAAAATAACTTGGCGTTACCACCACCAAATGAACATCCTCCTCCAGCGCTACATCTTGATGGCCCTTCTACGTCACATGCTTTGCATGCGTCATCTCTAGATAGGGTTTTGTTAGCGACGTCGATCGTAAGCGTTAGAACTAAAAATGGCGAGCACATATTGGCCCGAGCACTACTTGACTCTGGGTCACAAATGAAGCGACGTCGATCGTAAGCGTTAGAACTAAAAATGGCGAGCACATATTGGCCCGAGCACTACTTGACTCTGGGTCACAAATGAACTTCATTACTGAAGAACTTGCTCAAGGCTTACAGATCCGTAGGAGGGAATCGTGTATCAACTTGCTTGGAATTGGTCAAGCTAATTCCCAGGTTAAGAAAAAGATACACACTGTGGTGAAGTCAACGATTAATGGTAGTGAGTTTCCGTTCGACTTTTGGATTTTGAGAACTATCTCGGGTTATCACCCTGACCAGTCAGTGAACGTGAAATATTGGGACCTACCAAAGAACTTGCCTTTAGCAAACCCATATTTCTACAAACCTCAGCGGATAGACATGTTAATTGGAGCTGAGTCATTTTTCGAACTGTTGTCCGTTGGCCAAATAAAACATGGTCCAAACCATCCCACCTGAGCTTTGTCACCTGAACAAGAGTTATGTGAGGAACATTATCAGAAAAATACAGTTGTACTGCCTTCAGGTCGATTTGAAGTCGGATCCAAGCGTTTTGGGAAACTCGTTCGAGATAGCCAAACGCCGTTTTTTGTCGCTCTAGAGAAGATTATCTCGAGATCCGAATTTAAAGAAAATGTATGTGGAATTTATGGTAGAATACGAATCCTTAGGTCATATGTCCCCTACAAGCGATGGTGTTCTTGCTACTCCACACTACGTCATACCCCATCAGTGTGTCTTATGGCCTCAAAGCACATCGACCAAATTACGAGTCGTGTTTGATGCGTCTTGTAAGACATCAACACATAAGTGCCTTAACGATATGTTGATGGTTGGTCCTACCATCCAGGAACAGTTGTATTCAACTCTTCCTCGGTTCCGGCTGAACAAATTCGCTCTGATAGTGTGGAGGAAAGACCCATCAGAGTCCTTGAAACTGTGCAAGCTCAACATCGTTACATATGGCACTGCGCCAGCCATTCCTGGCCATAAGGTGTTTGAAGAGGTTGAGTGAATCTGTGAAAAATACAATCCCTCGAGCTGCCGAAGTTATTGGGTCCGACTTTTACGTCGACGACACGTTAACGGGTGCTGGTTGCATTGAGGAGCTAAAGACAATTAAGTCTGAAGTAACTCAGGTTCTTCAAAAAGCTGGGTTTAAATTAAGCAAGTGGTTTACAAACTCGCCTGAAGTTACTGCATCGGAGAGCACGGTTAAACCAATAACACTTTCGGACTCAGAACTGACTAAAGCATTAGGAATCGCTTGGGTTCCTAATGAAGATGTATTTAAATTTGAAATTGATGTTTCAGTCATGGGCAAAAAGGCCACCAAGCGGAACATCCTTTCGGTGACATCGAAGCTGTTTGACCCCCTTGGCTTATTAATCCCTTTACTCAATGAGTCAAATCAAACAGTCAATAGAAAACATCTCAATTCCGAGATTCGTGCTTACCGAGCCGATGTCAC